TTGAATTGAAACAGAAGCTGAAACATGAACGGAACTGCCTCGGCGTTGAAACGTCAAAAATCGAAAAGATCCAAACTATGTCTAAATTCATTCTTCACATGATCAATAAAGGAATAATGCTTTATTTCATAAATAAAAAAATATTATTAAAATATATTAAGTTTGATCCTTAGTTCTTTTTTTTTTATTATTAAAAATATCCAATAATAATAAATAATTATTTTTGTTCACAAAAAAAATCTAAATTCGATAAAATAAATATGGGTTGTAGAAACACCAAAAAAAAGGGTCCTCGGTCGTGTAAGGATATGTCCGAGGTCTTTAATCTTGGACGTACTGTAATAATTTCTTAATAGTCGAAATGAAATTAAATCCAGTACTTCCGGTCAAATGGCTATACGATAAATATAGTGAGCATGCCCACACCTTATTTATCACATAATTCCCCAGTCCTGAATTTGTTTGCCGGTCCCAAATTTATCTCTTTAAAGGACATGTCATACTCCGATCATCCTGCTAAGTAAGCCACGTGGATATCTCACGAAAGCCTATAAATACTCCCATGAGCCATGTCAAAAAAGTAATTGAAATCATCACAAAGCTCTTTTTTCATTAATCCAGAGATAGATCCGATTATTACTGACTTAAGTATCGGAGTATCTATCTTGAGAACCCACCTCCTGGTTTTGCAAGTTCATCCGAAGTGAAAACACAAATTGAAAAAGAACCTCTAGTTCGGTGCAATTACAGGTCGACACCAACGTTAAAAATGATCCCTAATCCACACGAGTGGGTGGGTTACAACTTGCACGAGTCGCCCCACACGAGTTGTAGTTTTTTTTTACCACACGAGTTGTAGTTAATAAACAAAATGAGAAGGATATGAGAAGGAGATATATTGGGGTGGCCATGGCTTAGAATTTGAACCTCCAATTAAGATGAGGCCTGGTTACCGATGGCCAGCGTGGCTTTCAAACCTGCCGCTGATCAATTACGATGGGGTGACGATCTACACCTTATCTTAATTGGAGGTTCAAATACATGACGATCGTCAATTTGTTTGGCAAAAAAAATAGGTCTCAAATCACGGCAAGGCCAAGAGAATTCTATTGTTGCTTCCCACGTCAGCAGAGTACACCTTCTGTTCCATTTTACTTATATTTTACGTTTTAGAGTAGGATTTTTGCTCCGTTTTCTTTGACTCGACATTTTTAGATTTTCAATATTCCTTAACTTATATTTCCATCCATATATTTTTGTTAGGTACATATATTTCCATCCATATTACTTTAATGCTTAAAGCATTAAATTGATTGAGGACTATCTTACTTAAAATTTTGAGTTTTATTTTTTATTAATTTATAATGACTGATATGGGTAAGAAGAAAGCGAAAAAAAGACATGCAAATCTTCATTAAATCAATGTAGAGAGGGCCCAAGATGTTTACCGTGCAGAAAAATTGCAACCTAACCTCTAACTTTGTTGCTCTAAATTTTTTTCTTTTTGGTGAATTCTATTTATATACTCTTACAATTGCAAAGTTAAAATCAAAGGATTTGATGTTAGATAGCAATGAAACTACTAGGATTAGTGAAATTGGGGACAAGATGGTGAAAAAAATTGAGTATATGAGTGAACCTAACATACCAAACATACAATGACTACAACATTATTATTACTACAACACTATCAATTTACTAAACAGAGTTGTGATGAATTAAATTACTGTTACAATTAGTGTTATTATATGAATCACACCTATAAATTCTAAAATTATTTTACCCTTAGTTTGTTTTGTGATCTATACTTTAATGATGTTAATGTTTCTTTATTCAAATAGACTTGCCTGTACTTCACACAATACTAGTTAAAATATTAATATGTAAAAGATACATTAATGATTAATACAAAAAATTATGTCAATTATTAAAGCATTTTAAAAATAATTTCACAAAATTATTATCATTTTAAAACTTAATGCTCAAGACGTTTATATGCCCGCGTAGCGGGACAAGGCCTTCACTTGTACTTTATGTTGTGGATATCTCAAGTCCATTTTTGCAGGGACCATACCAATCCAGCCCAAGAGTTTCATAAAACCCAAAAGACTCGGATATCCATCAAAAAACGGTAAAAGCCCACGAACATATTCCCAAAATACTAAAAAAGAGCACTCAACAGAATACAGAATACCCATTCCCTAGGCAATCACAAAGTTCTCCTCTTTGGATCCTTTTCAGATGATACATAGTGGAATCCAGAACTGATGCGTTTCCCCATCTTTTTTTTCTCATTTTTTCTTTGTTTGATTGATTGATTGATTTAAAACTTTCTTGATTCCTAGTTTCTTACACTGAGCTTTGGAGTTTGGTAATTAGGACCAAGAAACATTATTAGCAAAGAAAAAAAAAAAAAAAACCCAAATGTACATTTTCCCCCCCTAATTGTCCAACTACATTGAGTCTTAATTACACTGAAGTTTCTTATCTTTTTTCCACCAAAAGTGCGTGTGATGCCGAGCAAAGAAATGTGAATCCGAATAGCTTGATCCTTTAACATTCACTTTCCTAGTCGTCAATTCCTTGTCTCTTGTTGCTGAAGCAAAGTCCCTGCCCCCACCTTTATAATTTAATCATTTTCCTCATCATTTCCATCTCCACTTCCACCATAGAGAGGAAGGAAAAAACACTATGGCTGATTGGGGGCCGGTATTCATGGCTGTGATTCTGTTCATACTGCTGACACCAGGCCTGCTGATTCAGATACCGGGACGTAGCAGGTTCATAGAGTTTGGTAACTTTCAGACCAGTGGGGTGTCTATATTGGTGCACTCCATTCTTTACTTTGCACTCATGTGTATCTTCCTGTTAGCCATTGGTGTACGCATGTAAATTGGCTCATAGTTGATATATAAACCTAATGTAGAGTTGTTCTAAGTTTGTGGATTGATTTCTGAATTTTGATTCCAATATAGGTTGTTCTCAAGCTGTTTGTTTCTTTAATTTTCTGAACCTAGTTCGTGTTTTCTTTTAGCAGGGAAATGTTATGGTCACGCTGAGAATTGTTAGACCACACAAAATACAGTATATATATATGTTTAATTCATTTAGTTTATTTATTTAATGCATAGAGAAAAGCATAGTGGAGTATTTATAACCTCATTTATA